TTAGTTGAGGTTGGTCCTGCTTTGAGCAGGGGGTTGGACTAGAACCTCCTGAGGTCCCTTCCAACCCTGATCTTCTATGATTCTAGGTGTCTTGCGAGTGCTATAGATTTTACCCAGAAGGCGCCCAGACACAGTGATGATGGGCAGCCAGGATAAATGGACAAGCAACACCCCCCCACCACACACACAGACCTGTGTGAGAAGAGCCATGTGACGTGTGCAGATGTGTGATTCAAAATACACTGTGTCTGTGTGCCAGAGTCGAAAGGTGAGTTATTTGTGTGTGTGGGAGAGAGATTAGGATTATAAAATGCGTGTGCGTCAAAATATCAATGGTGTATCTGTGTGTGAGGCGAGAATGCGGAGTGCGTCTGTCTAGACTTTGCAAGGATTTGATTTTTATCGGTAAATGTCGACTTCACCATATCCACCCACAGCCCAAAACTATTTCCAGTGATCATCAAATTTTGCAAAATACAACTGAATGTTTAAACTGATAAAAGTAAAAAAAAAAAAGGCATAAAAATAAACATCGCTATCCACCTAAATTATAAAAGAGTAAAAATCGAACACTGCCAAGGCTACGGCGGTGTGACTCTCGGCTTCAAATGCAAATTGTGCGTGTGTTTGTGTGTGAGACGGATTAGAAAGGTGACTATTGGGTGTCTGTTTAACACGACATATATTCGGAGGCGGATTAAGGTTTCGTGGGGCCCTGGACACACGGACACACACACGGGTGACCCTGATCCCCTCCAGTCGTTTTTGGACTTTCTCCTCATACGTATAGAAAATGCGTGCAAGTGATTTTCGGAGAAGAAACAATATGTGTATTTATCCTGCAGTGTGTGGGGAGAGCGAGTGAGCAGGGCTGCCCTCTGCTAGACAGAAGCAGGACAGTGTGTGTTACCTGAGCAGAAGACTCCAGGGGATCGGAGCAGGCCGTTAACCTGCGGAACTCACCTCCACATGACGAGGTGTCGCAAGATTCCCAGAAGGACTGGGGATTTCATATAGGCAGCCAGAACATCCACATTTGTAAGGACCAGGATTACAAAACTAGCCAAGGCTTCTCGCCTGGAAATTCTGGGCCTAAACCAAGCTTGAAATATGGGGTTTGGGAATACATTTTCCCCTATGGGGAGGGGCACTTTGCAGTTTTCTCTAGAGCAGCAGCTTGTACCGACTGCTGGGAGCTAGGGCGGTGGGGCTGATTCTGGCCGCAGGGAGGGGGCGGGATACCGGGCTAGATAGGCCCTGGGGGAGAGAAGCCCGAGCTGGGCTTGGGGCACTGCTGTGGGGAAGCTCGCAGCACTGGAGTCCCTGGCTGGGCACGGCTGTGAAAGGCTGAACACAGGGGAGCCAGGACTCCTGGGTTCTGTCTCCCACCCTGGGAGAGGCGTTGGGTCTAGTGGGTTAAAGGGGGGGGCGGGGCTGGGAGCCGGGACTCCTGGGTCCCATGGACACAACGAGCCCTGGGACAGCCCCTCCCACCATCACTTCCCGTGCCTGGGAAACTACACTCCCCATGGTGCTTTGCAAGGGCCGGTCCTTATCGGCTGCTTCCTGCCCCTCAAGCGGCGGCGGGGAGCGGGGGGGTCGCTGCATGGAGTCGGGACCCCCGAGCACGGAGCCGGCTGCCGCTGCCACCCGCCCGGCCGGGGACGGGGCCCCCAGGGCCGATGGGTGCCTGGGTGAGCCCCCGCCGCCCCCTGCACCCCATCCCGCACTCCCCCCGAACCCCATCCCGCACCCCCCCCGAACCCCATCCCCATTCCTCCCTCCCCCATTCCCCTGCACCCCCTTCCCTCACACCTCCCTCCCCCACCCCATCCCCGCATCCCTGCACCCCCGTCTGCATCCACCCCTCCCCGCCCCCGCTCCCTCCTGTCCCCACCCTCCCCGCACCTCCCATCCTCATCCCGCCTTCCCCATCCCTGCACCCCCGGCCTCATCCCGCAACCCCTTATCCCCAATCCTCCTTCCCCGCACCCCCTGTCCCCACCCTCCCTCCCCGCATCTGCCTTCCTCATCCCACCTTCCCCACACCTAGAGAGGCGTGGGGAATGGATGGTTAGATGGGAGGATGGATGGGGATAGACACATGGATAGAGAGGTGGGAGGGTGGATGGATAGATGGGGGGATGGATGGGGATAGATACATGGATAGAGAGGTGGGGGGTGAATGGATAGATGGGGGGATGGATGGGGATAGATACTTGGATAGAGAGGTAGGGGGGATGGATGGATGGGATAGATACATGGATAGAGAGGTGCGGGGGATGGATGGATAGATGGGGGGATGGATGGGGATAGATACATGGATAGAGAGGTGCGGGTGGATGGATGGATAGATGGGGGGATGGATGGGGATAGATACATGGCTAGAGAGGCGTGGGGGATGGATGGATAGATACATGGATAGAGAGGTGGGGGGATGGATGGATAGATGGGGGATGGATGGGGATAAATACATGGATAGAGAGTGGGGGGATGGATGGATAGATGAAGGGATGGATGTGGATAGATACATGGATAGAGAGGTGTGG